GTTATTCTTGGTTCTTTTTTTTTTTTTTTTTTTTTTTTTTTTTTTTTTTTTTTTTTTTTTTTTGAGGCTGTAAGGTGCATGCATTTGCCAGAGAGAACAAAGAGAGATAAAGTGATCACCCCCCTAAGGGGGATGGCCAAGCCACAATCACTTTTCCTCCATTCTCCTCTCAGGATCTTGAGCATGCATGCGCACATGTCTGACATTAGTTTCAAGCCTCTGGATCCGGGACTCAAACTGCATTCAGCCATGTGGGAGTCCAGCCCCTTAACCACTACACCACTTGCTGGCCTCGAAACACTTCTAAGGCACTAAACCTGAATAGCTTTTTTTTTTTTAGACTTATTTTATTTATTTATTTATTATTTTTTTCCCATGAGTTTTGCCAGAGACAGAGAGCGAGGGGAAAAGTGAAAAGCAAGCCACCAGGTCCAGGACTTGAACCGTGGTTGGCCATGTGGGAATTCCAGCGCCTTAACCACCATGCCACCTGCTGGCCCCCAACCTGAACAGCTCTCTTAGAAATACCCTACCTCTTTTTCTCTAGAACTTTCCACACCAAAACCAGGCCATTTCATCCCTTCTGCCACTACATGCTTGCTACTATGCCACTGCACCCTGCAATTTTTTTTAAAGAAAATTTTTGCCTGTGAGTGTGCACTCACCAGAGAGAGGGAAAGGAAGAAAGCACCCCCCCCCCCATGGGGTGTAGTCATGCCACAATCCCTCCTCCATTTTCCTTTCGGAATTTTGGGCATGCTTACAAGCACATGTGTTTGGTGTGTTTCTGAAGCCCCTGTGTCCAGGACTTGAACCATGTAGTCAGCCATATGGGATCTAGTTGTTTAACCACTAGCTGGCTCAGTGCCCTGCATTTTTAACGCCTCACTCTAATCCTTTCCACCTGTTCCACTACTTAGGGGCTGCTTTCTATGACCATACAAACTGCTCGTGTTTACCTGCCTCTTAAATGTCTAACCATAATTTCTCTGGGGTTAAAATAATAATAATTAGAGAAAAAAATATATAATAGGATTTATTATAAAGTAGTCACATAAAGTAGTCACTCTGGAGGAAAATACCCTTTCACATGCAACTACTCTCCTGCCCAGTAGCTTTCCAGTGATACAGTTGGGCTCATCTAGCCTGGAAAACCCAGGGGTTGGGCCTTCCCAAGATGCCCATCACTCACTGTCCAGTTCAGGTTCCTCTCACCTGTTTTTGGATTTCTGATCCTAAGAGATGAAAACTCAACCGACCCAACTTTTTTTTTTCTTTCAGTGTTTGGGGGGAAAAAAGGAGTTTGTTAAAACAGAAACTATTTCTGACCAGACAAACCCCTCTTTTTTTTTTTTTTAGAGAAAGATTTTTGCAATGGGTGTGCCCACCAAAGAGACAGGGGATGGCCACACACAGCAATCCCTTCTCCTCCATTCTCCTCTTGGGGTCTTGGGTATACACTCACACTGCCTGGTGCGAGTTTCAGGCCACCAGGTTGGGATTCCAACCGCAGTTGGCCATATGGAAGTCCAGCGATGTAACCCCTTCGCCATCCGCTGGCCCCAGACCTCTCTTCTTAAAGCCCCTTTCCTGCATCCATGCCCACCCCACCTCCTCTCTAATACAGTATCTTATTCCTGGGGAAAAAAAAATCTAGATTTGTATATGATGGCCGTGTTCCAAGTGAGATCACTATTGTATTGTGCGACTTTAGGAAAACCCCTAACCTCTCTGGGACTTGGTTGGCACAAAAATCCGGTGATGCCAGCAGAGAAATGTGCAGTTCCCCTTCAGGCGACAGGAGGCGCTGCCCTTGGAGGCTTAAAACCCATTCCCCGCCCCCCGCCCGCCTCCGATGCGCAGGCGCGGCTTCGCGGATTGGCCGCGCGCGGGAGCCGCCATTCGGGGGCGGGTC